AGGGTGATGGAAAAGTCATGGAAAATCAAACGATGTTGTTTAACCCTTTTAAAACAAATGCTATGCTTTTATTGGTTGCTTAAAGTATAATCAAATTAGCTTAAATATTTATATTACAATAAAAATATAATATTTACATGTTTTCTGCACTGTCCACGTGTCTCTGTCTACAGTTACCGATTTAAATATTATGTTTTTGCATTACTTAATGCAAAACTAATACCATACTAGTTGATTTGAGGTGACTACCTCACTCAAGCCTCATGGATTATACTTCAGTTTGATTTTAGACTCAGAAAGTGAGTTTAGAAAATATACACCAGCTATAACAATTGATCTTTATTTTGACACAGAAAGATTTTCCAGCATTTAGTTTAAGATGGTGTGATGAGATCTCTCATCTGTTTGTGGCTTGTCTTTTCTCAGTGCATCTGCAATATTGTTATCACAGCTGTAATGGCATTTCTGTTTCATTAGCAGTAGTTTTGTAAATGCTCCCATAGCAAAGAACTGCTTTAATTGGGTGCTAGATAGAGAGGCGTTTGAGTGCATCAGATTTTTTACATCATTGGGGTCAGATGAGATGCTGGTATTGTAATTAAAGCTAACTGCTGTGCATTACTGTTTGTTCTATCTTGTTAGCATAAGCATAATTTACAAACCCACTCTCAGACATTAAAGCACAAAGCCACTCAAATCAGTCAGTCTTATTACTAATAATTGCATGGATTATTTCACTCTTATAAAACCAGTCAGAGTATCATATTTACTGTATGTCTGTGTGTGATTTTAGATGTTCCTAAATGTTTTTTTGTGCATTTAGAATAAATGTAAAAGTTACTGAAGAATTAAGGTGTATTCACACCTTTCTTGTTTGGTTCGATTGCCCCCTTGGTGTGGATCTTTAGGGCAGGTGTGAATACAGCAATCGCATTCAGGTGCGGACCAAACAACCGTACCGAGACCAAACTGAAGAGGTGGTCTCGGTCCAGTTCCAAACAAACTCTGGTACGGTTGAATGGATGAATCAATCAATGAATGACCTTAGCACACATGTGGTTTTGTTTACAATTTCTGATTCACTAGCAAAAAAGGGCAGTATGAAAGCGAATACACCCTTACACACACACAAATCCATGCTTAGGCACAGTCAATGACTGGAGGCCAGACGGGAGGCTGTCCTGGGCAATCACAGCCTTCCTGCTCCCCTCCACCAGACAGACGTCCCAGCAGCAGCGCCCTCACGCTAGTGCTCCTCACTGCATCATCAACTTCTGCATCACATAGCCAACAAACTGCAAACAGACTGTTCAGGATAATAAGTGTACACATTATCAGTGTTTGGTAGTGAAATCTAAAATAAAGTCTTTGATTGATGTATTGCCCTTGTAGTAACAGCCAACAAAGTCTGCTGTTCACTTTGAATGCTTCACAGAACATAAACAGATGTGTCATCATTGCATGAGTGAACCATAACCTATTAAGCAATGAAACTATTTTAGACTCACAGGTTTGAAATAGTCTTGAGCAGCCATAGACTGATACTGTATATTGGCCAGACAGATTTGTCGGGGAGATGACAAATTGATCTATATTTGACCATTTTGAGATTATTATCATTGAATAACTCTGCCCGCTCAGCTACCAGCCATCATGTCAATGCACAAATCCTGTTTTTAAACTTTAGTGAATTTCCAGTTGATGTTGTGTTAAAAAAAAAAGTTTAATTGCAGCATATTAGCCTTTATCACATGCATATTGCTATTACAAGAAAAGTAAATCAGTGGCCAGTTAAGTAAATTAGGGCTGTCAAAAAAGAATTTTGAATATTCATTGAATTAAAAATAAAAATCCACTTTCGAATGCAAAAACATTGCATTCAAATTTTAGGTGTGCGTTAAGGAGGCAGCCTTATCAGTGGCGCACGAGATGCGATGACGATGTATGTGTCGTTGCATTTTAATGTTTTTGTTAGCCTATCCAGTTGAAGCCACTAGATGTGGCGCTGCTGCGTTGTTCATTAAAAATATTGTGGAAAAAGAGAACATCAATGCAGAGATCTTGCTTACGTCAAAACTGAAACCAAGCCGTTCACACAGAACGCATATTTTGCACATTTTCTAGAGGGACATCTATCACCGTTGCACTCGCATCTCGCAAATATGTATTTATTAATATTTATAGTTTTATTAATATGTATTCATTGTATTAATTCATATGTATTTTATTACAAATGATTATTTTAGTATATTAAAGTAAAAACGGGTTGCTTTATGATAGTTTGATGGACTTGGGACAGTTTTCAGGTCTTTTCCAGACATTCCTGCCTCATTGTTGCATTTTAATCAGTTCTTTTATCCATTATTGAGAGTCTTAAACTGAATGTTTTCAGTTGCTTTAAACCCGAGACACACTGTACGATTTTCAGCTGTCCCAGACGAAAGATTGGCATCGTGAAACAATCGTGGCGATTTCTGTGTTTGTGGCTCCTTATCGGTGGTCCTATTTCGAACAGTGAGAGAGGTTCAAAGACTGCACTTGTCATGGTCTTGCGACCAAAGATAGCCTACGATAGTTTTATGACAGTGTAAGAAATTCAGCATGATCATCACACAGTGCGTTTGCTGCTACGACCCACGTTTACTGACCAGCCAATAAAAATGCTACATGAAATCAACGCGACATGGCGCTAAAATGTAAAACTGCTTACCTCATGCTCTTATCCCTTCCTCTTTCACCGCTTCCAATTTTTTTCAGCACACATAAAAACTCCAACTGCCACATTGTGATTCACGTTTACATTTTACGATACATTTTATTCTTCTATAGAAACGTGCGTCGTAGCCTACAAGTCAATAGGTGTCATCATCGTACAGTCTACATGCATGTTGTACCCAAGTTTATTAGACCCATGTCGCACAGTGTGATCTGCAATGATCTTATAGGATTGCTAAAATCACGCAGTGTGTAGAAGGCGGAAGAGGTGAAGTTTGCAGTTTCTGTGCTGCTAGTGTCGCCTACCAGTATTACCAAAATAAAGCATATTTTCAAACAACCTTTGCAAGCATCCCTTTCACTCATCACACCCTTACGTTATTGTTATCCTGTGGCTTGACCATAGGCGGAGCGTGTGTAAGGCTGGGGAAGGCTTAGTCTTTCCCTGGCCACGGGGACTTGGGGCAAAAATGCCACTAAATTGGACAAAAATGCCCCTGCACAAACAAATAAAATCTATTATGTCTGTTGCTAACAAAGTGAATATGAATAGACAGTAGTGCTGTGTTCAAAATATCGATACGACGATGTATCGTCACAGAGATTTGACGATACGAGTATCGATACAGCTGGCCCTGTATCGATCGAGTGGCACGTGTGCAGCAGTGGACCGCGCTTAATTTGTTTAAAATTTTACAACGTTTAAAATTGAGTAGAAAAGTGCGAGGTTTCTAAAAAAGAATGAATAGAACATATATAGGCTACAACAAGGTTTAACCTGGCCGCAGAGGAAAACAACTGGGTTGCCTGATATAAAGAAACGTAATCCCCAAAACAGAGCTTTACACTTGCGCAATACGGAAATATCTGCTAAATGTGCTACTTATCTTTGTCAACCTGGCAACCATGTGCACACGCGCTCTCTCCACTGTGGATAAACGCGCTTGCTTTCTGAAAACACCGGTTTTAGCTTGCAGTTTAGCGATCTCCACTTCAATATTCTATTCTCAGAAAAGCGTAATTCATCAACTGTTCACCCTGGCCATGGGGACTTGGGGCAAAAATGCCACTAAATTGGACAAAAATGCCCCTGCACAAACAAATTAAATCTATTACGTCTGTTGCTAACAAAGTGAATATGAATAGACAGTGTCGATTGCGGCATTAAATTAAGATCTGCTCATGTTGCACCGTATTTCATTTTAGGCGTTTTTACAGTGTTGCGCATTTTAACCAATCACACACATATCTGTTGAGCTCAGGAATGCAATGGCCAATCAGAGGCGTTCAGATGAGTCATCATTCAAAATCATCAGTTTTGTTGAGTGCGCGCACGTTCGCTGACTGAATTCTGGACTCTTGCGAATTCTCTCATCATAAACAACAAAGCGCAGATGTATGTACAATGTAAGTAAGAGATTCATTTAACAGTGTATACAGCTTCAGTGATTATAACGATAGTTTTGTTTTTTTTGAGAGTGCTTAAACTCGCCATAGATCAATGTTAGTGATAATGTCACTTTCTATATATAATTTATTCGCTGTTTGAATAACCGTGGAAAGAAAACGTTATATAATTATACATTTCTAACATTTTTATTAAATTGTAATCACGTTAAATACAAATTCAGTCCCATTAAAAAAATTTTAGCATACATGACACCCATGTCTGGTTCTTGCCTAAAAAGATGGGTTTATGATGTTTAATACATTTGGCTGCTTTTAGCCTTACCCTGGAGTTGGTTCACCCTCCGCCTATGGGCTTGACAGTAAAGAGCTAGCATGTGTGGTAAAACTTGATTTTAACTTACCTGTCGAGAAGAAACTTCACAAGTCTTAATTCAAATTCCATCAAATTCCTCCGTCTTGTAAAAACGTTGCCAACATTTACCCTTGTTTAACCCTGTTATCTCTCTGCACATTTTGGTAAGTCTTCCAATTTTGTACTTCTGTAACCGAATCTGAATTTTATTTCCAAAGTAATGCGTCACTCATCTTCCCACACCTGCTGAACACCGTTTGGCTCAGCCTCCAACAGTAGCCACGCCCCAGACTCTTGCTATTGGTTGAGCTGGGATGATTGACAGATCTGAGTTTAAATGTTTAGACGGTGCCTGGGAGGTTCAATGTTTACACTTTAGTGGAAGACAAACCCATGAATGGCATATTTATAGTAGTCAATGAACAATAAACTGAGTTAAGATAATGCATTTTGACATTTAAAAAAAAAATCGTACCAACTTCACCTTTAAGCATTTACATGTCTGTTTTTGTGTGTTTGACAGGAGCTGGTTGGCAGTAGCCCTCCACAGAGGAACTGGAAGGGAATCGCCATCGCCCTGCTGGTCATCCTGGGCATCTGCTCTCTGATCGTCACCGCCGTCATTCTACTCACACCAAGTATGTGCTGCTGTCTGCACGCACCTCACATTTAATCATTAACACATTACAGGTCTAATATGCAAACAAAATGTAGTCGTGTGCACAATGCACATTTATTAATATTAGTATGCCTGAAATGTGTTTTAATATCACTATTAATTAGGATTGTATGATCTCTGTATAATATCAGTCTTTAAATGCAAGATATTTAAAATGTACCTGAAGTAGCCTACACTTGCAATAGTTCCACATTAGCACAATCAAATATGCTTCACTATATCTTTAGTTGGACTTCAGCACTACTTCCACACAATTAAAGTGCATTAAGTTCAAATTAGCAGACTTTTAGTATACCAAAAGTTCAATTGCAGGGTATTTTAAGCACATAAATATGTAATTGTGTTTGTACTATACTTAGCACAAAATAAATGTATTTCAAATACATTTGAGTATTTTTTTGTAGGCTTTTGAATAGAGTAACAGATATCAACATTGTTACAAACAGCTCAGATTTTTACTTTTTACTTTTATAGCACTGAACTCTTCATACTCTATATATGTCAACAACTGGCTCTTTTAATTCTGTTTTTGTGTGTCTTTGGAGAGGTGTCTGAGGTTTTCCTCAATAATTTGAATAATGAACTTCTGGTATTGTTTATCAGTTATTGTTTTGCTGTATTTTCGTACACTTAGATCATTTTGTACCAGAGTAAAACGATATTGTTAATGCAGGAGAGACAAAGTGATGATGCCAAGCAGCTGCTGCAGCCAAAATATTCCTAGGTTCTGGGTTCAATTTTAGTGATTTTCCAGGGTAATTAGTACAGCATGTATTATATGACTGTACTTTAACACAAGAAAAGTGGGCCACCATGTTTCCCCAGAGTTCAGTTAAATATATTTTTTTCAAACACGAGTGATAGAGTATGTATGCAAACATGGATCAATTGTTAGAGAGACTAAATTAGGATTTGCCTCAAGGAATGAGTGAACTAATTTTTAACCCTCGCCTAATTGAGGGTGAGCTGTTTCCTTGTGAGGGGCTTGCAGAAAGACATCTAAAAGTACCAGGGTTATTTTGAGTATTGTATTGAGTACTAATACTACTTATATACTATTTATATACAGTAGTGTTTATTAATAGCTTTTATTTTTATTTTTTCAGCTATCATTGTATTTGTAGTTTTATAGATTTTTGTGCTTGTCATATATATATATATATTACGTAGCTATTTTACGTAGCTTTGTTTTTTTAATTTTAGTAATTTTAGTACTTCAACAGGCAACATAGAGTTTTTTATCTAATATTTTTTTTATTTCAGCTTAATTTCAAAGTAACATTTCCATCTACTTCAACTTAAAAACTTAAGTTAAATTTATTTTTTTATTTTTTAATCTATTTTTCTATTTTGTTAGTTTTTATTTAATTTAATTTATTTCATTTTAACACTATAAAATTTCCACTTATTGCACTGTAAAATTAGAGTTCAGTTGTTTCCTTAAACATTTAAGTATAATCAAACTGGCTGTACAAGTTATTTCACCTTAAACTATATTAAACAGACTTAAAATATTAAGTTATGAAAAAAATTAAGTTGAAGATAATACAGTTAAATTAATGTGATGAGTAAATGGAAAATCATATTGTATGTTGCCATGACTTATTGATCATGTCATTTTTTTTTCCAATTACAGATTTATTTAACATTATTATTATTATTTTAAGTTTTAGTTTTAGCTCAGGATATCAATACTGTTATAATCATGTTTATCCCATATGTTGTATGAAGAAATGAAATGTCATTCCACTTTGCCTTTCTTGCTTCTACTCTTTGTATCCAGTTGCAAAGTGTTAAACTCCTGAATGGATACTTGTTATGTAGTAAGACAAACTATGTGGGTGAGCGTATAGTCGTTTAATAACAAAAAAACCTTGGCTGATTAGATCAATGTGTGGATCAATAGTGCTCTAAATAGAATGAGACCCACTAGGGAGCCCCAGTTGCGCCCTGCACCTCATGTCAGCTCTAGTAATTGGCTGTGGCCCTGTGGACCAGCGAGGGAGTTGTTTGCTGAAGCCAGATCTCACGGGACAGAAGCCAGACAATATGGTGGGAGCTATGCATACTTTTATAAAAAAAAATAATAATAAAAAAAAAAAACTGTTGTTGTTTTCCCAGTTTTTTTTTTGGTTTTTTTTTGGTGGTGGTCTCGTGGGGCCCGATGGAGGCGGTTTATAACACAAGTTCCAGAGTTACTTTCAAAATTTGAAGTTTGCGGAAAACCTGAACACTACTGTTTTAAACTCACAAACCTAAGCTTGAAGAGCAAATGTGCTGTGAATAATAAATCAGAATCTGTAAACAAGAACACTGGAGGCGATTATTGTTTTTCTACATAACTTACAAAGTACTTCAAACACACCTTTCATTGTTTGATAGAGAAACGCATTGTTCTGGCATCCTTATTGAATGAAAAGAGAGATGCAAAACTGAAAAGGAAGGTGTAAGTTGTACATTTTGCAAGAAAATACTATTTCTCAGACTACTATTTTATACTCCTATTTTTCAGTCCTTGTGCTTCGAATATTCATGGTTTAATTAAATGTGTTGCCGTTTCTGTGAAATGTACCAGTAATTTCTGAGTGAAAAATGTTTCTACAACTGTTTTTTTTTTCAATGCTGAAATATAGAGGAGCTATTTCAAGTTTTACACTAGGACATTGGTTAGAAAACATAATTCAACTGGCAGACCACTAATCTGGGGGAAAACACCACTTTTATTGTTGAATATATTATATGCATTGTTTTTAAATGAAAATTAACTCAAATATACTTTAATGTCATTTCAATTGAAACTTGTATGTCATGTATTTATATTTGCAATTACACATTTGTAATGATAAAGCTGCAATTTAGTACATTTAAAATATATTAACTCTACACATAAAATCGAATAACACTAGAGTTAAAATGAAAATCAAGTGCTTTACATGTGCTTTAGTATGTTAGTCAACACATACAGTAAGTGTAATAAGTGTACTTCTTTAAAGTAAAAAATAGTATTAAATATAATAATTTAAAATGTACTTAAAGCAAAACTGCTAAACTTTTAATTTGACATTAAAGCACACTTACATATATATATATATAAATAATATATATATATATACTTCTAAGATTCAATAAGAATCAATACAATTAATTGCACTTATTTTTGACAAGGGATGGCTGTTTGTCTGTGTAACACCTTTGTAATTTTCAAACTATAATCTTTAAAAAATGTAAAACTATTTAAAATGTTTTCCAGCAGTTTACCTTGACAAACTTTTCTGCTCACAGCTGAGGATGACAGTCTGGCCTCCAAGAAGAAAGTCACGATTGAGGACATGTTCAGTGGGAAGCTCCAGGCACACGACCCTGAGGCAACATGGATTAGCGGTGAGTGGCGGTTGAGTTTTACTCCCTGTTGTTCACTGCCAGTGCTGTGGGTGGATGCAGGACCTTTTTCATCATCTCATATCACCAAAGAAAGAAATTGCATCAGGATCTGCATCTAAAGCCTCATACTGATTGAATGCAATCTCTGTGGTACTTCAGATGAATATCCCCATTTAATATGGACGGGTGTGGAGAAATATTCTTCCCCAGAATTGCATATTCTTTTCTTTCTTTGTTCAGGCTTAAATTCTTTCACGCTGGCTTAGAGGCTCTGGGTTTTCATCATACTCTTAAAGCAAATGACTGCAGACTGAGAGTCACTTTATTGCCTTTTATTGATTGTAAAACTGGGAAAGGGCTGTGTATTACTTTCCATTTCTAACCATGCAGCATACAGTACCTGGTAAAAAAAATAAAAAAAATAAAATAAAAAAAATATATATATATATACTTAAAGCTTATATACTTATATATATATATGTGTGTGTGTGGTTAGAACGTCTCGGTTACGTATGGTAACCCTCGTTCCCTGAAGGAGGGAACGGAGACGTCACGTTGGATGACCGACGAAATTGGGATCTCGCTTAGAGAGACCAATCTACTTCGAGTGTAAACTAAATGTGCATTGGCTCGTTTAGTTTACACTCGAAGTAGATTGGTCTCTCTAAGCGAGATCCCAATTTCGTCGGTCATCCGACGTGACGTCGAGAGTGACCGACTGAAAGGGAACCAGCTTTTCTAGCTGGTTTACACTGGTACATGGTTTCCAGCTGGTTCAAAATGGTAATTTATGATCATCAGATGATACATACTGGTATACATGGTTTGCTCAATGGAATTAATAGCTGGGTATTTATTTTGACAAGGTAGATAATCCTGTTCAAGTAGTTTATTGAAACTTGTTTCCTCCATGGAATTAAAAAAAGGTGATTGTGACTTTTATCTCACAACTGAGACATTTCCTCACAATTCTGCACGTATATATATCAATTTTGGCTTTTTTCTCACAATTCTGAGAAAAAGTATTTTTCAAAAGTATTTACAGTATACTCACAATTGTAAGAAATGTCAGAATTAAAAAAACACAGTTGCCTTTTTTATTTTTTATTTTGTAGTGAAAACAGGAAAAAAAACAGAATTGTGAGATGTAAAGTCCAAATTCTGAGAAAAATTCTGGATTGATAGATATAAACTCAGAATTTAAAAAAAAAGCCAGAATTGTGAGATGTAAACTCAGAATTCTTAAAAAAAAACAATCAGAATTGTGAGATGTAACTTCAGAATTCTCAGGAAAAAAAGTCAGAATTGTGAGATGTAAAATCAGAATTAAAAAAAAAAAGTCAGAATTGTGAGATGTAAACTCAGAATTCTTAAAAAAAAAGTTAGAATTGTGAGATGTAAACTCAGAATTCTTAAAAAAAGTTAGAATTGTGAGATGTAAAATCAGAATTAAAAAAAAAATCAGAATTGTGAGATGTAAACTCAGAATTCTTAAAAAAAGTTAGAATTGTGAGATGTAAAATCAGAATTTTAAAAAAAGTCAGAATTGTGAGATGTAAACTCAGAATTCTTTAAAAAAGTTAGAATTGTGAGATGTAAACTCAGAATTCTGAGGGAAAGTTAGAATTGTGAGATGTAAAAAAAAAGTCAGAATTGTGAGATGTAAACTCAGAATTCTTTAAAAAAGTTAGAATTGTGAGATGTAAACTCAGAATTCTGAGGGAAAAAAGTCAGAATTGAGACGTAGACTCAGAATTCTAAAAAAAAAAAAAAGTCAGAATTGTGAGTTGTAAATTATAAAAAAAAATCAGAATTGTGAGATGTAACTTCAGAATTCTCAGGAAAAAAGTCAGAATTGTGAGATGTAAACTCAGAACGCTGACCTCATACGTCATGCTCCCGGAGCTGCTTCCGTGTACAACTGTTGGCGCAAGCTATATTAAAGTGATTATTACGTTTTGAATATGGATATTTTTCTTACAAAAACGCATCGATTCGCTACAGGAGGCCTTTGTTCACCCCCCGGGAGCTGTGTGAGACACTTTTTTTATGGATGGGCGCTTTTTATATAACTTCTTTTGGACTGATACATGCAACACCCGCTGAGTGCCATTAAACAGCTTGAAAGATCAAAGACAATTTTTAATATAACTCCAACTGGATTCGTCTGAAAGAAGAAAGTCATATACACCTAGGATGACTTGAGGGTGAGTAATTTATGGGCTAATTTTCATTTTTGGGTGTACTAACCCTTTAAGATTTGAAGCACACTATAAGTGCACATTCAATACAATTAAGCGCAATTCTTTTTCACAAAGGAAGCTATTATGGGAACAAATTAACGGTAGGGTTCTCTGTCTCAGTCTAGAGTACTCATGCTGACAGCAAGGAAATCATAATCACTTTAACTAACACTGGGCTTCAAAAGAAGAGAAACTGTAACCAAGCACTTCTGCTTGCTGTAGTGTTTTGCACGCTATCATGTAGGTACTTCTCATTGAGGTTGTTCTGGTGTAGGTCTCTAATGCTAAGGCTTTTTGCTTTATGTTAGCTATTATTTAAAATTTCCTGTGCCTGAAATTTCAATCGATTTTTGGCAGGGTGAAGAATAGGGGTGTCCTTTGTTTGTCCTTGTTTGTGTTATAAAGGTGCAGCCCTGGCGCCTTGTAAAGCGTGCAAAAGATGTAAATCGTGTTTTGATCTGCATTTTGATTAATCATTTTTCGTTATTCTGCTGCTGAAACTGCGTTTGTTGATTTAAGGCTGTGTTTACCTCGGAGAAACAGCCCTATTATTCTCTCTCTGACATGCTCCACAACTCAGCGTCGAGCCTTTTTAAAAGCGATCACTCGTCTGTATTATTTATCAAGGCGGGCGCTATCTGCATTCAGGTCTGGAGCAGACTTGTTTACCGGGGTAGGTATAACATTTACAGCCTGCATAAATAAAGAACACAGTTGCCCTAGCAAAACAGGAACTTTTAAAGCTGGGACAAATAAACCAATGCTTTAAAATGAGCTGTAAAAAGGTTTTAAAGGCTTTCCATAAATGAGTGAATGCATTTATGGGTTATAAAATGAACCCAAATCATTTTATGTGCATGAAGCACAACAGTAAATCTATAGCTGTCTGTTCTGACCAGAATGAAGTGATTGTCCATAAATCTTACCCTATTGTTGTTTATTGATCTGCTAGTTTATATTATGTAGTTGTTAATTATTTCAGGTTTTTTATTTTTAATAAATGTATAAAGTTTACAAACCGTTTTTTTTTTTTTTGCTTTGTCATTATGATGTATGGAGTGTAGAATGATGTGGAGAAAAAGTTATTTAAAGTAGTTAAACATACAGTAAGGCAACAACATGACAAAACATGAAAAAATGAAGGAGTACAAATTATATGTGTGTGTGTGTGTGTGTGTGTGTGTATACATATATACATATATACACACACACACTATAAAAAATCTAACTAAAAACTAAGCATTTTATGTTGATTGTTGCTTTGAAAACTTTCAGTTGGTTCATCTAAAGTACTAAAAATGTTAAAAGACATTCAGTTCACACACACACACACACACAAACACATCTATCTATCTATCTATCTATCTATCTATCTATCTCTCTCTGTATATATATATATATACAGTATATATATATATATATATATATATATTCTCCAAAGTTTTTGAAAGTATTTTTATGTTCACCAATACTGCATTTATTTGAGCAAAAATACAGTAATATGCTAAAAAAATTTTATATATACTCTTTTGTTTTTTAATATTTTTAATCCATTTTAAAATGTAATTTATTCTTGTGATGCAAAGCTGAATTTTCAACAGCCATTACTTCAGTCATCAGTGTGTAATATGTCATATGTATACAATATATTACGTAAGGACTAATATCATCAATATTTCATTGTTACGTTGTTCTTATAATAGATTCAAATAACTTCTGAACAGTCTCCAATTGAATGTTCAATCATGAATGTTCTATCAGAACACCTGCCAGTTGCTTTGGAGGAGAAAATTTGCTTCTGCTTCTGATAATATTGAAGTCAGGTGATTTGTCTGGCCAGGGCATGTCAGGTGCATCTTGGTGCTCCGACACCATATTTTTCTCATTTTTAGTATTGGCATCTGTGATTAAAGTTTTAGCAGTTGCAGATCTTTCATAGGTGTTGGCTTTGTGTAGTTCTCTCTGGTTGGTTTTTGTAGAAACGGGGTCTTCAAGGTGAATATTGAGGTTTGCTATCACTTTGCTGCAGTAGTTTGTCCCGTGCTCAGTGGTCCCTATCATTTACTTTCGGTTTTCGCCCACTATTCTTCTTTTCGATGTTTGTGTATGCAGTCATTATCGTGAAGACTGTTGTTCTTAAAAAGGCAAACATTTGGGTTGTTGAGGTTACAGATGCTCCTGGGAAACTTTCGGCTTCCACTATTTGTTCTTTTTTTTATAAATCTGACACATCACCCGTTTTACCAAGCGCTTGTACTAAACACTGCTGAACACAACTTTACTACACTGATCTACAACCTAGAGAATATAGACAAGGATAAGATAAATAAAAGTAATTGCAATGTTTGTTTGTTTTTTTCACTGTAGTCTGCACAAATTTTATAACAATGCATTATTTTGTCCATATATATACTGTGTGTGTGAATTATTATTAATTTGTTACATATGTTTGTGAATTATTGATTATTAATTTGGTAAATAGCCATGTAATAATGTACAGCCAGCTGAATATTATCACAAAAGAAACCAATTTATAGTGATAAAACATCTCTCTCTCTTTATTTTGTGATAGTGACCAGCTGACTGTACTTGATATGTACCGTGTATCAAGGATAATAATTTTTTCTTCTTCACCTTCAAAGACACTGAGCTGCTCTACAGCACAAATGACAGCAATGTGGTGCGACGCAACGTGCTGACCAATACCTCCAAGATTTTGGTGAAGAACACCACGTTCGAGAGTTTCAAAAACCAGGTTCTTACCTCTTTGGTTAACATCAAAACATGCAGATGTTTTGTACTAAAGAAAATCAACTTCAGAGCTAAAATGCATGACCTTTTTTTTTCTTCTTTGGTTTCAGGGATCCTACAGACGGATCACATACAAAGTATCTCCTGATCTAAAATATGTGCTGGTGGCCTACAATATTGTGCCGGTAAATGCATCGTATTCCGATTCATAATGTGAAGAATCTAGCTATGTTTGTTACTCAAATTCTATAGTCTTTTGTTATCTATTGCATCACATCTCTTTGTAAAAGATGACACGATGTGTGACTCTTTGTTCTACAGCTTTATCAGTATTCCTTCACGGCCTGTTACATCATCTGCAGCCTTCACTCTCCGTAAGTCTTGTTGCTGAGACTGAAATCCTTCCACATTCTCACTGGCTTTTCTTTTACTGTCATCTCGCCTGAGCTCTTCAGAGAGGACAGAGCCATTGTGGAGAACTGAATTGTGGGTAGCACTGCCACCTAGTGTGTTTCCTAAAAACTGGTGTCATTTCCCCAGAGCGGTCCGTGTCAGTGCAAATATAATTTGTCCTCAGAGTCGGTCTCCCTCCCCCAGTCTAAATTATTCATTACGAGTAGCCTTAAACATTGCAAGGGAATTCAGATTTTGACCCATGAAATACATCAACATGATAATTGTATAGGATACTACGGTAGTGAAACGTCAAATAGGTTAAACAAACAGACACACATCTTTCTCATTCAGCTCACACACACACTTTCACTCTCTCTGTCATTCTAACAGACGCATATGAGACTATTTGACCTTCTCTGGTGACGCATTGCAATACATTTCATTCATGAATGCAAAGAAACACACACATACACACAGTCGTCCTTTAATGGTTTTGAGATTGGTTTGTTTTTTGACAGAGAGAAAGTGGAGCTGACCCCTAATGAGGTGCAGAGCACCGCACTGCAGTACGCCGGATGGGGTCCCAAAGGACAGCAACTGGTAAGAGAATCACACACACACACACACACTACCACCGATGAGTCACTGAAAAAATAGGAAGTAAACTTAAAAAAAAGCTACAATTAAATACCACAAAACACAAACACGGTTACAGGAAATTGGTTTAATATATAGCCTTTCTGTATAGCCTGACATTCATTATAACATTATTAAGCTTATGACTTTGTGGAGCATGTAACAGGTGGAAAAGAATGTCATCAGACATGCAATATGCATATTTACTGCTTAAACAAGCAATATTAATACAGTACATTCAGTTGTACAAGTTACTACATGCATATATTGTGTATGTATACACGATTTTGATCATTTCTTTCAGTATTTTATATTATTTTCCTGGGAAAGTGTGGGTTTTATTGAAACATAAATGTAATGACCATCATGATCATAATCTACATCAAATCCTGGTTTGCCTTCATCCACTGGTCGTGATAGAAATCTAAAGAAGCCCAAATCCGTGCTAATCTTTAGAAAACACAGTATTTTAGGCTCTCGGCTCAATTTGACTAAAGCACTAAAGTAAAACAGCTCTTTTTCGGGTGCTAGAAGAACATGAATGTGCCATACCAGAGCTGTAAATAGTAATTGCATCTATAAGGCTAGTATATATTTTAGTGTAGCTGTATACTTTAGCTAGTCACAATAAAAAAGAATTTTACTTGCCATTTTGAATTGTCTTGTAGATTTTTTGAGGTTCACTTACATTTTCCTGCAGTGCGACAAATTAATTTTTAAAAGTACCAGTATTCCATGTAAACTATAGTTCAAAAGCTTGGGGTCAGTATGATTTTTAAAAGAAATGTATACTTTTATTCATCAAGGATGCATTTAATTGATCAAAAATGACAGTAAAGACATTTATGAAGTTAAAGATTTTTGTTTCAAATAAATGCTGTTCTTCTGAACTCTCTCTGGAAAAACAAAAGTATCAGTTTCCACAAAAATATCAAAAAACTGTGATTTTGATGATAATAAATATTTCTTGAGGAGCAAATCAGCATATTCGAATGATTTCTGAAGGATCGTGTGACACGGAAGACTGGAGTAATGATGCTGAAAATTCAGCTTTGATCACAGGAATAAATTACATTTTAAAATACAAAAAAAAAAAAATTTAAATACAAAACAGTTCAATTAAATTGTAGTAGTAATTTACTATATTATTGTTTTTTAATGATCAAATAAAGGCAGCCTTTGTGAGCATAAGAGACTTCTTTCAAAAACATTACAAAATTTACCATCCCCAAACTTTTGAACAATAGTGTATTTTATGAATTCAGCATTATAACAAAACAAAAAAAAATACTAGAGTTATATTGTTTAAAATAATTGTACATGGTCAAACTGCTTGATATTTTGTATTAACCACCCAAATTCTGCTCTACATTTAAATAAATAAGTGCGAATCAAATAAATAAGTGTGAATCATCACCAGTAGAGCACAGGATCTGAAGATGTGAGCTGCTCATATCGGCCTGATTGTGTCTGTGTTGAGCTGGCAGAGATAAAGCAGGACTCTAGTAAAGCAGTGGCAGATGGCAGCAGCATGACACAAGCCCATTTCAAAAGAGCTGATTTTAGTTTCTTTCTGACCTTAATTAGTGGCGTTTGGTAAGGCAAGAATCACTATTACTCTTACCATAGTTAAGGTTAGAGATTCAAAGAAACACCTAACTAACTGTAACTTTAAAATGTTTAAAGGGATAGTTCATCCTAAAAAAAAAATTGTCATCATTTACTCAACCTCATGTTATTCCAAACCTGTATGAGTTTCTTGCTTCTTCAACACAAAAGAATTTTGAAGAAGGCTGGGCAACAAACAGTTGCCGGTAGCCATTGACTTCCATAGCAAGGAAAAAAATTGTATGGAAGTCAATGGCTACAGGCAACTGTTTAGTTACCAACATTCTTCAAAATATCTTATTTTGTGTTCAACAGTAGAAATAAATTCATACAGATTTGTACAAAACATGAGGGTGAGTACAACATTTTTAATCCTCATCCTGTACTGTCTGTGCTATAGATGTGAATGGTGTAAATGGCTTGTTGAGGAAAGGTGTACTGTCACTTTTTTACTTTATGGTTTTCATCCGGCAGACAATTAAAAAAAAAATCTGAACCCAAGGGCGTCATGTGTCCTCTAGTGTTTGTGATGAGCGAACAAGACAAACAGACACAGTGTTTGCATTAGTACTGCAGTCTGTTGTTTTTGTATCAAAATCGTCTGTTATCAGTCAACACAAGAAGTGCAATATAATCCACGCCTGTAATATTTGTGTTTACCTGCAAACACAAACTCATATATGGCACTGCACTGTCATAATCATACACAAATACATGTTTGTTTTTGTGTGTTATAAGCAAAGCACACATGCTCACTCACGTGTGTGTGAGCAGAGCATCAGGTGTGTAATTTTCCAGGCACCCGTATGCTGTCCCGCGCCCTGTGCCTTTGTGACGCCTCCGGCAATGAGTTTTTCGTGACAGAGCAATCAGCAGGGGTCTGTACAGCCAGAACCTACACTGAAGGTCATATCCCAGACTCCTCCGGGGGGAAGAGAGCGTGAGATGGATCAAAATGGCGGTCATGGATGAGCAGAGATAGAGATGTAGAGGAGGAGTCGCTGTACATCACAGATGTGATGGAGGAGAACGTACACACAGCGGGATGGGGTCCAGAGTGTAGACACATGCCACTGGCTCCGTCCCAAACCCCCCGAACCACCTTGCTGTCTGCTGTCTACATAGACAGCTGCCTTCTAAAGCTCTAAATAGCATTGCATCAGTGCATAATGCATTACATCATGAACAAGATGAAGGATTATTAACGCATAAAACAATCTCAGAATGCCGACAATTTCTGACACAGTTTTCCATGTATTATGTTGTTATTATATCCTTGTTAGTAGGACAAATCATACGATCGCACGATAATCGCTCATAATAATTTAATCTTTTCCATCTTGTCTGTGTCTCAAAAAAAAAGCTCTACTGTAGTTCTACGGGGGATGATGTATTTTTGTAGGCCAACCCTGACGTTAGCATTAACCTGGTTCTCTCAACAAATAGCCAATAGGATTTTTCTGTAGGCTTTTGAATTATTGCGTTGAATTATCTGTGACCAACTAAGGTTTATGATTCTTACATGTGTTGTTTATCAGATAGACAGATGTGTTGTTTATCAAATAGAGTTGGCAGAAGTAAAAAGCTAAAATTAGGCTGTAAACAAGCTATATTGTTACAAAACTTAAACATCACCACCATTAATCTTCTAACAAATATTTTAATCTTCATCTTTACTTAAAGTTTCAGTTAGAATAGTTTGTAAGAATGTGAGTGTAAACACAACGAGGCTTTAAAAGCAGGTTGGTGAGTAGATTCCTATATAAGGTCTATTCAGTATTATTCAGGAGCTTTTTTGCTTGCTCAGGAGCAAATGACCCTCCTCCATCCCCAACTCCTCCTTTCGCCACAGTCAGGACTTGGCTTTCTGATATTCCTCATTGAATTAGACTTCTTTTATCCTAATGTTGTTACACTTTAATATCATTAAGAACATTAATGATATCTGCTTTGTTCTGTTCTGTTTACCCTAAGGGGGTTATTGCTGCTCTCCCTGCTCATTCCCTGCTCTCCCTGCCTGTCTGTCTCTGTCTGTCTGTATGTCTGTCTATCTATCTATCTGTCTCTCTGTCTGTCTGTCTGTCTGTCTGTCTGTCTCTGTCTGTCTGTCTGTCTGTCTGTCTCTTTGACTGTCTGTCTGTCTGTCTCTTTGTCCGTCTGTCTGTCTGTCTCTTTGTCTGTCTGTCTGTCTGTCTGTCTGTCTATCTTATCTATCTGTCTGTCTGTCTCTTTTTGTCTGTCTGTCTGTCTGCCTCATGAGCTGTTCCTCTCACTCTGCTCACATTTAGAGTTAATGACAGTGATTAGATGCATAACAGTAACAGATAAATACCAGGGCGCAAGCGCAGCCATTAGTCAAAGGCAAGACAAAATCAGACCACGATTCACGATCATCACAGTAATAAGACAAAACCACAGTTTTAAAGTTCACCTTAATAAATAATACTAATCACATCGAAACGCTCTTAATGGTTTCAAATGCAGTACAATTATCAATCCTCAGCATTTCCAAAGCTGTAATTGCATCTTCTCTTAACAGTTATCTGAGCTTCTGTTTTAAAACCACAACCAGAGAAAGGATTATTACAACAAACTAGACTAGACACAATCTCAGCACACACAGGCCTAATGTGTGACCTCTGAATGCAAGAAAACAAGCTGCACATAATACAAACATTTAAAAAAAAAATCTCTTTCAGAAAATACACTGTTCACACTAGTTTATTTAATTTTGTCCACTAATGTCCAGCAGTCGACACACATGCACCATATGTGAATTCTGAACTTTTATCTTTTATTTATATATATATTATTCATTTTGTTTGATAACATTCTGTGGTGGGAAAAAATGTCTAACTCTTTTGTTGCCAAGGCAAATTTCATAGCTAGCTAGCATTTTTCTTCCATCTCATATGTCATATCAAACATGCTCTTTATTGACATTGTTTTCTTGATGTAAACTAACATTTGAACAAATTTATTTTGGACAAAATGGTTACACTTTATTTCGATAGTCCACTTTAGACATTCTATTAACTATAAGTAACTTTGTAACTACATGTCAACTACATGTCAACTAATTCTCATTAATTTGCATCTACATGTCTACTAACTCTCAGATTAGACTGTTGGTAGGTTTAGGGTTAGTAGAATGTTGACAAAGAAAGTGTTAGAAGATATTAAGCAGACAGTCTACTAATACTCTACTAACTGCTAGTTGACATGTAGTTGCAAAGTTACTTACTGTTAATAGAATGTCTAAAGTGGACTATCGAAATAAAGTGTTACCGACAAAATTGTTGGTTGTGGAAGGAATGATGCCAGAAGAGACTGTAAATTGATAAATTTGAAATTGACATTTTTCACAAATAAACATTACTATTATTTATTTCATATAAACTGCCATTGAAAAGTTGGAAAAATAAACAAGGTTTCCAAGTTTCCAACAAAAAAGAAAGATGTTAGGAGAGTGAATCTGTTGCACCAGCTGAAAAGTGCTGTTCTAAATTGAATTTAAATTGGTACATTGTAAAGCTGTCCTCTTCTTACAATTATTCTCTGTCGCTTTGGTGCATTTCTCAGATCAGAAATGAAATTCTCAAAAGTACTTGTTTAACCTCCACATCATCTAGTCACTTGTGCACATCATAAAAGCAGTGCCTCATTCTTTTTTTCAAGTTGCGATTGCTTTGGTACATTCATGCAATTGATTATGTACATTTGTCTGCAGTTTCCTCAGTTGCTAATGATGCTCAAAATGTATGATATAGTTCTCTGTGCAATAGTCTTACCCCTCAAAACATCTAGTCATTAGTCAATAAAAAAATCTAGTTGTCATAAACTGTCAAGCATATTTTCTACGCATTTCTATTAGACTTTTTGTAAATTTGCCATGAATTGTGCAGGGGAATCTTGACTTTCTCTAATGAAGAGAATGTAGATCAACCAATGATAAACCAGTTTTCGGAAATAGCTCAAGTGTAGCTGTAAATCCTATCCAGTCTCTTTTAATCAATATCCCACAAACAGTAATGTGTAAATTTGTACTTTTGAAATGGATATATGGCATACATAAGAAGTGCAGCCTTCTGCATTTCAATACAGTAACTGTCATCCAAACTGTTGCCATCAGGTAATACTAACAGAGTGCACTGTTATATTGACGACATGACTAAGCTTTTTGACTATCTTGTTTGTAAAAAATGACACAAGAACTTTTAATTCTGATGGCACTGATATGTTCATTGACATAAATACTTACTTTTGAGAGATGAGCTAAAGATTTTGAGTAAGTTACAGGCTTTTGCAAGTAATCCATTGTGTGGTGCTATTTGTACAAATTGTTTTGAGAAATGCACCAAAGCGACTGAGAAAAACTGTAATGAAATACTGTTACATTGTAATTTATTATCATTCTTGTTTTTAAAAGTCTTTTTTTTTTCTTCTTCTTCTTCAGGCATAGTCTGTTAGATTTGCATAAGTTAGTACAGCGTATTTTTCTGTGATTTTGGCTGCTGAATAAATCCCACCAGAGCTTTTCACACACACATTACCTCTCCCACAGTCTGCCACCAACCCTGATTACTGTAGCATCACACAACATCGTAAATATTCACTAGAGATGTGTGAGATGTTACAACACATATATACTCAAATTTAGTGTAAATTGATCGTTTAAATTCATTTTTTTCTCAATTTCAGCGTTAGTGTAGTCACTCTGTTTTACTTTTGTACAACAACTTCGTGACCTTGGTATGCAGCTGAATACTTTACTGTTAAATAAACTTTGAATTGGCTTTTCATCATTCATACGAAGTGCAGACATGTTCATTTGTCCTACAGAGCACAACAGGGACCACATTTTTCCAGCAGCCTTGTTCCTGGAACTATTTTCCCCTTTGTTTTCTCCATATGCATGTCAAAAATTCTCAATTTAATATTTTTAAGCCACATTACAACATTTGAAAACCTGAATAAAAACACCCAGATACAAGGCTGTGTGCTTGCGTTCTTGTATGAGGAAATGAACTACTCGCTGTAATATAAATCCATGACTGTGTGGCTTTCATTTGTAAGATTCAATACATTTGAAACCTATTGTAAAATGCTTAGAAATGTATCGGTAGTTTGAGGGCGACCAGGTCAATAATGCCATTCACAGTGTTTCATTGGAGTTTGCAGCTCTGTTATATGTCTGTTTATATAGTAAGAGGAACTTTCTGATTGATGTATCTCACTTCAGGGATTATGGGTAGTGTAGTTTTTAACCCAAGCTGAAATCATACTATTGAAGTACTATCACTTAGAGATCATGGTAGATCTGTCTTGAAAGTTGTATACATTATCGCTAATTCGATTTTCCTATAGAGAAAATGAATGGGATTTTTATATCCATAACCCTGCTGTTGTGCTCTAAAATCTTTCAGTTTCAGGAGTTACTTTGTCTGGTTTGACATGGTCTTACTAACAATAGTTCGTTCTTCTTTCCTGACAGATTTTCATCTTTGAGAATAACATCTACTACAAAGCGCAAGTGAACAGCCCATCAATCCGTCTGGTGTCCACAGGGAGTCTGGGGGGCGTATTTAATGGACTTGCTGACTGGCTCTATGAAGGTAAAACCCATAAGCATGAATAATAAAAAACCCAGAGGGTTGTGTGCATGTAATAAAAGAGCAGAAGTGATTGTGACTGTCTGGTGTGTTTAGGCTGGGTGGAGATTCTGTTGATTTGTATACAGTGTCTCATCCATCTCTCTGACTCAGCACGTTCCTTCTCAAGTTATATGAATATATTACTTTTTATTTTTATTGAAACGGCATTGCTGGAATATACATCTCTGCTTATTAGTTTAGATCTGGCAGATTTTGCAAGAGAAAGTTATAATTTGGAAAAATACATATACTGTGAATAGCAAGAAAAAAAATCATTTTTTAAACCTTCCAGATGAAATGGACTTAACAGATATTTTAATATTTTCTACAAGACAAAATAACTAAATTTTCACAAGTCAAAGTTTGTTTGTTTGTTCATTTTAATTCAATTAATTTGCTAAAGTACTTTATAATAGCAATTAATATTAGTATTATTACTGTTACTGTACTGTTTTTTGTTTAAAGCTAAACAACTTTTGATAAGTTTTGATTCCGAGCAAGTAAAAGTGAAGGTAATCTGGTTTGTTTCTGTCTTTGTCCTTATTCTGGACACTGAACCTGTTCTTTTACAAAACCTAGTTGGGTCTCACTTTATTTTAAGGTCCAATTCTCACTATTAACTACTGTTTTTGCCACAATAAAGTAGTTGTTAAGTTTTGGTATGGGGTGGATTAAGGGATCTAAAAAATAGTCATGCAGAATAAGGCATCAATATGTGCTTTATAAATACTAATAAACAGCCAATATGCTAGTAATATGCATGCTAGTTTTTGCTAGTTGAGATTTAGTCCCTAAAATAAAGTGTTACCCATAATTGCAATAAAGAGTAATTACTGTAAATGCAATTACGTATCACATTTGTCTCTGTTCATACTTATCACTAAGGACCTTTTCTGGAAAAATATGATCGGGAATCAGATTAAAGCATTAAAGGGTTAGTTCACCCAAAAATGAAAATTCTGTCATTAATTACTCACCCTCGTGTTGTTCGAAACCCGTAAGACCTTCGTTCATCTTCGGAACACAATTTAAGATATTTTTGATGAAATCTGAGGGCTCTCTGACCCTCCCATAGACAGCAAGGTAACTACCACGATCAAGGTCCAGAAAAGTACCAAGATGATCGACAAAGTAGTCCGTGTGACATCAGTGGTTCAACTGTAAAGTTACGAAGCTACGAGAATACTTTTTTGCGCAAAGAAAACAAAAACACGACAGTATCATGACGTGAGCGTGTGGTGGCGCCGGTGCTGACCCAGATCCGGCGTGATGACGTCACTACGCCCGGATCTTCGTAACTTTACAGTTGAAACACTGATGTCACACGGACTACTTTTCGATCATCTTGGTACTTTTCTGGACCTTGAACGCGGTAGTTACCTTGCTGTCTATGGGAGGGACAGAGAGCCCTCAGATTTCATCAAAAATATCTTAAATTGTGTTCCGAAGATGAACGAAGGTCTTACGGGTTCTGAACAACACGAGGGTGAGTAATTAATTACAGAATTTTCATTTTTGGGTGAACTAACCCTTTAATGCCGGTGTGTCTCTGAACCCGTTCAAGGTCATACTGAGTTCATTTCACAGAAGTAGACGCACCAAACTCTTTCAGTACCTTGGTCTGGCATATACAAATATGTGTAAAAAGCAGCCAAATATGTGACATTCAACAGTCGTAAATTAAAACCATGTTTTCATTTAATCATAAGCCTATAAATGCTAAACATGCTCCATATTAAACTGAAAAAAAATTTCAGACTAATGAAATGTAGATATTATTAGACCTGTTAGTGTATGAACAGCATTGGGATGTGAGCTCAAGATTAAACCTTTTTATAATCCATTGTGCAATAGTGTGATTTAAGACAGCATTTGAGTACAATCTCTCACAATCATTATGATTTTAATACTCATAATTATTAAAGGGGTCATATGATGCGATTTCATTTTTTCCTTTCTCTTTGGAGTGTTACAAGCTCTTGGTGCATAAAGAAGATCTGTAAAGTTGTAAAGACTAAAGTCTCAAATCCAAAGAGATATTCTTTATCAAAGTTAAGAGTCAGCCACACCTACCTAAAACGGCTCATCCTAAAATACTAGGTTTGCTTAGGACTATGTTCATTTAGACTTCATTTAGTGTTTTTTCTTTCTCTGTTAGCTATATCAAGTGTTTGCTTACACTCAAATTCACACACATTTCACACAGATTTCCCTGGCTTTATGCCGTCTGCAGTGTGGGAATACTGCATGATTTAGAATAATTTTCAAGATATATTATCCATCTGGCAGGTATGTTTCATCAGTTATGTTTCCTTGTCCTTGTTAGCTCTGTAGTTCCTGCTGTATGAGGGCACATTGGCAGCGTGTTTGTTTGTGACACATACTGAACTGTATTGTACACCGGTAATTGGTTTTATCCTAAATTAACATCTCAGTCTGAGGCTATTCTTAGTCGCATGCTCTTATAACGTCCATTGATTCTATGCTGTGTAAAGACCTCTACTGCCATCCCGTGGTCTCACATTTCATGACAGATAGCATTTAATCAGAACAGACAGAGTAAGAATTCGTTCACGTAGGGAAAATTTACATTTAGTCATTCGTGGAACATAAAAGAAGATATTTTGAAGAATGTTTAAGCTGCTCCTTTCCAAAAAAAAACCCAAACATGGATGGTAATATGAAACGATGAGTCAAATAAACCATTTTATTGTGTTTTCGTGCTACTTTTGTTGTATGGAAAACCATGTTGGTATTGTTAAATAAACCTAAAACTATTGAAATGAGCTTTTGTTACCTGAAAAAAAGTCAAATAAAATTAAATATAAATATTACTGAAATAAAATTAGATGAAACACTGAAATTTACTAAAACTAAAAAACTGAAACTAAATAGAAATATCAACAGCACATTACAGAGCTACTAAAACGTTAGCTAAACTAAAATTAAAATGAAATCTGAAAATATAAAAATAAAAGCAAATAAATATTATAAAAGTATATAAATATTGCTAGAAAGAAATATTAAAATGACAATTGCACATAGCTACTAAAACTTAAATTAAAATGAAAATAAAACAAAACTATAAAATAAATAAAAAATATAAAATAAATACCATAAAGTATATAAATATTAGTAAAAAGAACTATTATATTGACAAAAGCACATTATAGAGTTACTAAAACTTAAATTAAAATTTAAAATAAAACAGAACATATAAAATAAAACAAATAAATATTATGAAAATATATAAATGTTACTAAAATAACACTGACAGATAAAATAAAAACAAATAAATATTATAAAAGTATATAAATGTTGCTAAAATAATACAGAAGTTGCCTACAAGACACACGCACATCTGCTTAATTTGGGTATTGTATTGACATTAAAAAAAAAAATTTTTTTTATTTAATTACTGGGTGAACTATTCCTCTAAAAATTTGGAGCCATGGTGCAGTGGTCAATGTCCCAGGTGCTCATGTTGGTGATGCAGATTTGAACAGAACAATTATACAAAATATTTATTGACATCCGTAGTCATCAGGGCTTATATTTATCAATGAATTTCTGTTTAAATCATTAAGCAGATTGTTGGTTTTAGGGCCACATTTTGCATAAGAATGTATGAACATGTATTGCATAAGCCCTATTCTTGCACAAGAAATAAACAAACAAATTAAATGAGTCCTGTCAGTGTTGTTCTCGTCTAGGTTACATAATGTCTAAATGAGCTCTAGAGGTCCAGTTTGCAGTGCTACAGACAGTCATATTTTACATTCCCTCATCTGACGGCCGCTCTGTTCCTCCTCCAGCTCTCGGCTGTCAGCTGCATGGAGTGATGGATGAGACTCCCGAGGCAGCAGCCTACAGGCAAATGGATGCGATAAATCACACGCGCTGTTTTTGCACATGTTGCAGTTATGTATTTTGCAGCGTGTCCTCTCTTTGCTTGAAAGGATATTTAATCCTCTAACACATATAGGCAAATGGATGCGATAAATCACACGCGCTGTTTTTGCACATGTTGCAGTTATGTATTTTGCAGCATGTCCTCTCTTTGCTTGAAAGGATATTTAATCCTCTAACACATATTAGGATCTGACAGAGATGCGGTCACCACGCAACAAAGCTTTACAAGACATGCGTCACTTGTTTGTGTGCAGTGTAGACTTCCTTTAGTATAAAGCTTCAGTTTTGTGTTTAATCCACTCGTGTTTTATTCGTTTGTGTTCACAGAGGAGATCTTCCAGAGTCACATCGCTCACTGGTGGTCACCAGATGGTCTCAGACTGGCATATGCCACCGTCAATGACACTCTGGTGCCCAAGATGGAGATACCCATGTTCACAAACGCACTGTATCCCAGCGGACAGGAGTACCGCTACCCTAAAGTAAATCTCTGCAGCTTCTTTTTACGATCAAACCAAGGCTTGGTTGTGTGTGTTCCTCAATGTCAGTATCTTCCAATGTCTCTGTAATCTTGAAATGGGATCTGATGGTTGCTGTTGTCTTGAGTGACATTTAAAGGGACAGTGCAAAAAAAATCTGTCATCATGTTTTTCAGAACTATAAGACTTTGGTTTATCTTCAGAAGACAAAAGAAGGTGTTTGTTATATCCTCTCATTGTTTTAGTTCATCCATTGAAAGTCGACCAAAATTTTCAAGCTTGAAAAAATGATTTAACCAAGTGGTTTAATCAGCATGCTGAAGAGACCTGATCGCTTTATATGATAAACATATGTTATTCACATACATAGAGCACATAAAATATGATCAACAGAAACTCAGTCATGCTTGCCTGATGCACGAGAACAAACCTCATTGCTCCTCAAGCGTCAAGCATGCACACACTGCTTCAGTGGAAGGATACAAAATTATGAGAGAATATTAAAAATATTCCTTTTGACAATGACTGAAAGACTTCTTTGTTGGAACAACATGAGGGTGAGTAAATTATGACAGATTTTTCATTTTTGTGTGAACTATCCCTTTAAGCACTGTAGTGACATAACTAAATCAGGTTTTATAATAGTTATGGCAAGCAATAACTGTCCATCTGCATGTTTATCCTTTTGTGCAACATACCTAATTTACATTTATTCATTTGCCAGACAGATTTTTTTCAAAAGCAGCTTACAGTGCACTCAAAGTATAGCCTACAATGGGAAATTGCATGTGCTTTACCAGTTGAACTTTAATGGAGCAGATAAATATTGTTTGTACAAAATATATATATGCGCGCGTTAAGACGGTTCTTAATTCGCGTGGCGTGCACCTGCTCGTACAGCGCCAGTCTAAACTTGAATTATTTTTCACGCCTTGTGCTTAAACGTTCAAATGCACAGTTATGTCAAAATGTCTCCTCGTCAACACGGTCATTTGTGTCTTAAATGAACGTTAATAGTTAAATATAAAGCATGTGTAGTAGTAGGC